TGGTGACTGCTGTTGTTGATGAATATTTGCAGCCGGAGTTAAATGGCATAATTCCAAAGAGTGATTAGCATCCCATTGGAATTGGCATCAACACATTTCGAAGAAAGTTGCTCACTGGTTTCAAAGGGTTTTCTGGCATCTTGAACTGAAAGCGTATTGTGTTGAATATGGCAAAACTTTACTGAGTTTTTTTTATCCTTTTCCCTTCTTATTCAAAAGTGCTTGCCTAAAAGTATTTAAACAAAAAAGAAACGTGGTGTGTTTCTGGTGTCTGTGTATGCCTCTTTTGAACATCAGTGTCATAATTATAATGTATTGCTTGCATGATTTTTTTTTTCTTTTGAGAAAAAAATGTACTGGTTTTATCATTAATATATCAGTGTGTGTTGTGGCTTTATTTTATAAGCCAATCCTATTTATTTAAGCAACTTTCAGTATTTTGAAAAATGTACCTCTTTTTATAAAATCAGTTACGTTTTATCGCAATATTAGTAGCTCTAGTTTGATTACACAGCATAACATTTCATGCTGGCGTTTTTTTCCAACTAGTCATGCCAATTTTTCATGTCTCATTCCGTACTAAGTGAGTTGGTTCCTATCTGTAGTCCCCCTGCATTGTTTTAATGTTTTGTTGTGATCTTTCTTATGTGATGCATTGTATTTATTATTTATGCTGTGGAAAGTTTTAGTTTCCATGTAGCACTAGGTCTAATTTATTTTGTGTGGGTGGCCTGAAACCTTTGTGAATGATTTGAGTTGAAGAATGACAAGTAATTGATCTTTTATGGAATGTTCTCATTTAAATTGGCTGACTGAAGTGAAGTTATATCATACATTCAGTAAACTTAAGCATTTAAAACTGCAGAAACAATTTATACACTGGCAGAGTTCTTTAAAATTCATTTCCTGTGCATCTATTATTTTTTTAAAATACACTTTTGTGACAATATGAGTGTTCAAATGATATGATGAAAAGACAATTATACAATGAAGCATAAAACTTAAAAGGTTTGCTAATTATCCTCCTATGTCCTCATGGTCAACACGAAGACTGCTTAACAAGATTAACTTGATATAATTATCAAGCCAAACTCTCATACTATTGAGGCGACAATCCATCTAGAAAGACAAAAAAATACAGATAAAAAGTATACGTTCTCGGATTTTTTGAACACAAAGAGTTTTTGTTACCTGATAAGTGAGATATTCAGCATCCAGAGGCACCCCACATATATCAGGCAGTGGACTGACAAGGCATGAGCCAAAGAGAGATGTAAATGCAACTTCATACATCCAAACAACCAAGACAACGTCAGCCCACGTAGCTTCAACCCTTAGTGAGATTCTAGCCAAAGCTTCTGCCATAGCTGCCCTGAGAATAGTAAAACCAGTAACAGGTTTTGTGCGTCTAGTTTTCAACTCACTTGTAAGGAACACGCAGTGATCATATTGTGGTCACGCAACAGTGAACTAAATCAACTCCTGTGATACTTTTAACCTGAGGCTTACATAGTTTGGGTTATTGTAAAAAAGTGTAATCTTTATCACTATTGACTCACATTGTACCTACAGCTGTCACTGGTAAACAATTTGGGCGGACCCTCCTGCTGGCTACAAAATAATCCCGAATGAGACGAGATGCTTCATCTGTTAAAGCAACAGGTTGGGCATTTACTAAGGTCAGAAACTGTGGGACAGAAAGGAACGACTTTGCCAAAGTTGATAGGTTTAAATAAAGTGGAGCCAAAACTCAAACTAACGCCCGTGTTACCTCTTTCATATCGCTGTCCAAAACGACACTTGACATTTGTTCCCTTCTAGCTTTGATCAAAAGATGTTCGCAGATATCGAAAGCTTCCTCCTCAGACCCAGTCTCAGCGAGAACCGGCGCACCTAACGTACTGTAGTACGAGCAAAATAAAATAAAGCTCTGGAGACAACACGGCAATTACCATAGCAAGGTTCGAGAAATATGCTAACTTGAGCAACGTGCGCAGTGTGAGGAGGTCCGAAGGCTTGCTCGTGGTCGGCGGGCTCCAGTACGCCCAGACGGCACACTGCAGGGGCACGCTGGGTCCCGCCCCGGGCAGCTGCGCACCGGCCAGGTCGCGGCACTCCAGCACTGCTTTGCCGCTCTCCAGAGCTAGCGGGGCGCCAGACAGAGGACCACAACGTGAGGGGTAGGCACGGTGCTCCACGGAGCAGCGCTGCGGGACTGCCTATCCCGCGCTCCGCGGGCGCCGAGCCGCTGGCCGCTGGCCGTTATGGGCGCGCGCCGAGGGCGGGTGCGAGAGCGCGCGAGGCAGGGTCCCGCCCGTCAAGGTAAGGTGTCCCCACAATGAACGTTTCACGAGGCCACGCTAATGGTAGCGCCTACCACCTGCTGGGTAGGCCAACCCGCGAAACAGCCGTGTGAAGATGACGGCCCACCCTGAGAGCGCCCAAGTGTCGGGGCTCCAGGTGCGAGAACTCTCCTGATGCCGAATGTTCCCTCGGGTGGAGTTCATTGTGGGGAACCGCACGCAACGGCAGGGTACCACCGGCAAAATGGCAATGCTTTCGCCGCACCGGAACCCCAATAATGACGGGGGAGGAGGAAGGGAGTCGTACCTGCAGTGATGGCGCTCGCGGAGCTGCGGTTCCACTTGTCCCAGGAGCCGACGAAGCAGATGCCGCCCCGCGCCAGCACCAGAGGCCCCGCAGAGAGCCACGCCCCCGCGGGGCCCGCGCGCCCGCGCGACGCCTGCTGCTGCCGCGGGAGGGCGGGTGCGGCCGGCAGCCGGGTGAGGTCCGCAGCGCTGGTGATGCACACGGCGCGGTCCGCGAGGCGCGCTCCGCGGGCCAGCAGCACCTGTCCGGCCGGGTCCCTGCCCACGGCCAGCAGCGGCACCGGCGGGTGGTCCAGGCCCTGGGACGCGAGGCTCAGCAGGATGCCCAGCTTGAGGTGCAGGAAGGTGTGCGCCGGGTACCTGTCGCCGCCCACCTGGGAGGCCAGGGTGACAGCGAAGGCCCACGGCGACTCGGTGTCGGCGCTCGCCTCCACCCACACGCCCTGGATGGAGCCCGGCAGCGGGTCGGAGCGCAACCCGCGCGCCACGCGGCGCAGCGCGCCGTCCACCCAAGGGCGGACACCCCACGCCTCAGCAGGGCCAGCTAGCTGCGACCCAAGCCCGTGGTCAGGACCAGTTCAGAAGAACACCCGGCATGCCCATGCACATGGACTCACCCCGCTCGAGAGCACGACGACGTCGTAGCGCTGTCCCAACTGCAGGGTCTCTGGCAGGGCCAAGTCGTCTGGCAGGAGCAGAAAACGAACGTAATACGGACATGTGGGCACCACCTCCCCGACCAAAGGCACTGTACTTACCGCAGAACCTGACCAGGGTCGGGTGGCTGAGGTTGGGCCGGCCCTCCTGCGCCTCGGCCGCCTGCAGCGCGTCGGGCCGCACTAGCAGCGCCTCGACCTGGTCCCCGACGTCGCGCCCCCGCGGCGCCTCGTCGGCGTCGCCGGCGCAGAATCGGCACCGGCGCCGCGACGCCTTAGGACCCCAGACGCGCACCCCCGCCGCGCCGGGGCAACTGAGAACGGGGCACCGGAACACGGCACTGCGCCTGCGCATTTCAAGAAAAAATCTCAATCAAGAATCGAATCTTGAAAGCAGATGATACAAATTTATAAAGAGGGCTATGTTCTTATTTCCTCTCATGCAACACTCAGCCAGCCAGCCACGCCAGCCAGTCACTCGGACACCATTCCCCCAGCGCACAAAAAAGGTGATTTCTGGTTTTGCTTTTAGTTCTCTTTCCTGCTTATCGAGAGTTTAAGCTACCTTAAAGTTACTTAATATATTCTTAATATTTATTAAGTATACAAGGTATCATCTGCTAAAAACAGAAGTATTGGTGTACCCTTGGATTTTCAGGCGAGTGCCCTTCTAGAGTGATTCGACGCCGGTGGCCTGACGGCGGCAGGGGGACACTCACGTGTACTTGGTCGGGGTGGTGACGGCTACGGCCACGCCCTGGAGCAGCAGTAGACGTCTGTCGGTGGGCGCTGGGATCTTCGTGCCGTCCGTCCGTAGGCTTCGCTCGGCGGGCAAGGAACTCACCCGTAGCGCCACCTGTTCGACAAGAAAAGGGTTTCATGTGTGAGCGCAGGAAACACTTGAAAAAACAAAAAACAAAACAAAAAAAAAAAACATCTTTCCTTAGCACCGGGCGGAAGCCACCGGGAACTGAGTTACCGTAATGACGTACCTGTACTTGGTCTAGCGTGAGGGCGGGGAGGGGGCAGAGTGTTGTCAGGGCGCAGTGAACCACGTCCCTGACCAGCTCCTGCACCAGGCGCGGCTTCTCCAGGACTAAGGACCCCATTTCACCTGCAACTCACGGTATGAAGCATAACGTAGGGTCCTATAGTCTAAACCTAACCTGCGCTCTCGGTTAGGCCGGCCTATGGCCTATGGCCATACCTAGCCAAAAAGAAAAAAGGTGGAGAATAGTATGAGACTTGCAATGAAGTACTCACATGATATCTCGGCTAATTCCGCAACATCCAGAGGTATTGGAAAGATGAAGGGCGGTGTGGCTTCACTTCTTTTGCCCTCGGTATACTCTTCAAGGCTATCTTTGAATTTGAAGCCTGCCTGCTCCAGACTTGCTAAAGTTCCGTTGGCGTCCATGTGTCTTACGATAGTTCTTCTCACCTCTTGTTCAAAAGGAGGATCCAAATATTCCTCCATATTTATCAATGTCGTTTTGGTTTAAAATATAAAGCAACAGATTTCTGAACTACTTTAAATGTGGTTGCCAGTTCTCATTCCTTCTCACCTTGTTTTCCCTCTTTCCACTCGTTTTTGCGCAAGTGCTCTGAAAAACCCGCCTTTAAATGTTGCCAACACAAAAAATATACTGGTGTTGTTCATGTATTTTTCATGGTTTCTGATTTAAGATTTAAAAAAAAACTAAACGATTTACACGATATCTAGTATGGAAAAATGTAGCGGGATGGAAATAGAATCAGAATATTTGTCCCATTTGTTTGTTCGTGCTGGCAGGGTGGTAATCCCGGACTTACACGAGCGCGGGTTTTCTACTAAAGATTTGTTATTTGTTGTTGTTGTGTGGAGGTTATGTAGTATACGTATAGTACAGTGATATTTACATTTTAACTCTGCTGAGTGGGAAGAATTATGGAGACGGATTCCTTTTACTCTGACCCCAGATACGAGTATGAGCCGGTTTCTTTCTTAAAATGTCACTCTAAAATAAAGGGGGATAAAAATGACCGGCACTCTAAGGTATTGTACTTCACTTTCACTGTTGCTCAGTTAATTAAATTATAATAATAATCAATGTTGAATTGCATTTTTACATTTTACCTTTTTTATGATTTTCAGGTGTGGATGTGTGCTTTTGAGCCCCATCCTGATTTCCCTGAGAAGACCACAGATGTCATTGCGACCTGTGGATCCAACAGTGTTTGTGTCATCAATGTCAAAACCCAAAACGTTGTTGCAAAGCATTATTCTAAACAAGCTAAAGAAGACTTTTATTCGCTATCATGGTCCTCCATTTTCATTAAGGATGACTTAAATAAAACGAAGAAAAAGGGGAACGTTTTGGCAGTGGCTGGACTAAATTGTGTACTACACATACTTTATCCGTCAAGACAAGTTTGTTGTTTAGAACAAAAGTTCAAGAAATCATCTTCTGTTTCTATCAGCTCAGTTCAGTTTCATCCCTTGTCCACATCTATTTTATGTGGTACGTGTCATTTTATACAGTGTGTCAGACCATGATAAACTTGTGAGGACTCATACAAGCCTTCTTATATTTTCAGGTGCGTTTAGCAGTGGAGAGGTTTACATATGGGATCTAGGAGAGCTCTCGCTCCCTAATTATGACATGAAGCTCTCACATCTGCACACACTCAGTCTTCAGAGTGAAATTTTTAATATGTCATTCTCTCGACATTGTGTGTGTCTTCTAGCAGCCACTGATAATGGTGTTGCAGCTTGGTCCCTTGAATTAAAGGATGTAAATGATGCCAAATGCAAGTAAGTTGTTAAAAGATTTCAACACATCGTATTTCCTGCATTTTTAGTGTAGTGTTAAGACTGTTGTTTTGTGTTGCGTCAAACTTAATCTCTTTTGTAGAATCAAGGCATGGAAATTCAACTTCCCCACAATGTCTGGGACTCACCATTCACACGATGGGCAGTTGGTAGATTCAGTTGAACCAATTAAAAATGGAAAAATAGTTGCCTCTAAATGTGCTCTTTATGGCAGTATCTATCTTTGGGATTTAGAGGAAGCTATAGATCACTGTGGGGACAGAGGTCATACTAAGGTTCAACCTGCTCATATCCTAGACTACAGCAAGACTGACAACTATTTCATGAGTTTGGGCAGTTCTTTATGTAAGTATTACTCTTACTTAAATTTAAAAAAATACTATATGTTATGTTAATATTGAATATTGTTTGCCTGCAGTATCTGGTCTGCTTGCTTGTGGTGATGATTTGGGTAACATTTGGCTGTACGACTTGAAGGAAGTATTTTCCCAATCTCTGAAGAAACAAGAACAATCGGCTGTTATTCCATGGCCAGATGTTGATGACAAAAGTTCCCAGTGGATGGTAGAGCTCAATGAAGTTGTCATCAACAAAGTAGTGGTAAGCTATAATGGATCATATATAGTAGCTGTGACTAACACAAACCTCATATGTGTTTGGAAGAAAGAACGTGCTTGAGTATACGTATGTATCTCAGGCCTTGGCTATGCCTAAATCTTTAAAATTGTGAGTTTTAAATGCTATGATCTGCATTTGTTGATTGTCTGTTTTTGATTTGTTTTATGTTTTTTTATGTTACCACTGCATGTGTGGTATATTTCTGTCTGAATACCCTTATTACCAATTATGATGATGAAAGTTTTAATCATGAACTTTACAATTTGCCCATATTTATATTTTCAATCTTGTACCACCCCACTGTATCAAAAAAAATAAAAATATAAACAGATTAAATGCTACACATCATGATTTATTAAGTAAAGCAATCCAATGCCATACTCAATTGAAGTTCTTATTGATATTGAAACAGACATTTTACAATTTGATATATAACTATAATTCCCTCGGTTTTAGTTCTTCCTTGGGCGGTGGCGCCTTTCTTGCAACACAGATAGGCCTGAAAACATTTCAAAAAGAAAAAAAAAAATGTTCAACACAGTTCATAGATGACCCTGAATTTAGCTTAAAGAAAGGACGAGATATTTTATGTACTTACCAGACAATTAAGGGCACAACAACAAAAGATATCATGGAATATTTAAATGCTGACTGTTTCCTCTTGAGACCAAATGCAGTTATAAGATATGTAGCTAGAGCGCATTCAATCCCTAACTCATATGCTGAACCATTACAATCATTTCTTTGAAATGATTCAGCTACAGGCTGAAAGATAGAAGAAACAATCAAAAAGTTTATACAAAACAGTCGTAATCTATCAAAATCTATCAAAGAAATAACATTATGGTGGGTGAATTCATAGCTTCATAAAGGGAGATTTACAATGTCAACGCTGTAACGCTAGCCTGAATGAACGCTAGAGAAGTGGTCAGAACAGGGTGAAGGAGGAGTGGAAGGGGATCTTACGAATGCTGCTTTAACGCTAGCGGTAGAGCTACGCTTGCTGCGATGCTGTCGTAAATCCACCTGAATGCATTTGCTGTAAACCACTACCCTACTGTGTTTTTATTTATGTGACATGAAAGCAATTGGAGGCAAGATAAAATTAGAGAGCAGGTGGTTAAAATAAGAATGAAAGTTACTATTGTGAGGAAAAATGATATACAATAAAACATTGAAGTAAGGAAGTAGCCTACTATACTATAGAGTATGTTTAACCAACAATCATTAAAAGTATTGTACGATTTTAGTCCTTTGTATAACACGCTCTGATTCATTGGTAACATTTTTCATTGCAAAGTCATTTTTTTAGAGAAAACTGTAACTAAAAACCCCCAGAACTTAAGTTTTTCCTATAGTTCTGTCAACACTCAGGAAGTACCGAGGAAAAATTTATCAATGGAAATTGATAAATTGGTCCATTAGGAATGAGGGTTTACTATTGTAGATATCTTAACCTTGTTTGGTTACATAGTCTCAAACAAAATTGAATATGACACTCACCCGTATCAGAGATTTAAACCAATTTTCACTTGAACCACTACTTTCAACAGTCTCGGGAGTCCCAGTCATGTTCTTTTACTGTTATGATGAACATTTATACATCAAGTAAGAAGTACCGAAAACAATTCGGTTTACAAGTTTTGGGCTGCTAGATGCCGCAATGTCGTCTGCTTTTTAGAAGAACCAATCCCCGGCTAGGATGAAGCGCGCCAAATTTTAAACCTCACTTCGTTTTCTCAAGTAATATCATCGCATCAAAATTTATGACTCTTAAACTATGCAGTATTTTCGATTAAATGCGAACTCCGACTAAAATCTTGTACAAATGTATCAAAAAACCATAGGTTTATTCTCCACTCGATGATTCTTTCCTATATAATTCTCATACACCGTCCATACTCTAATCAAGAAGAGAAAAACTGCTAAAGTTGCGGGAGATTTCAAAAAAGGAGCAGAATGCCTAAATTTG